CAACAGCCCCTGAAAGTGGCAGCGGCGATAACGTTTGACGGAATCATGGCGGTATTCTCCTAACTCCTCCTACTTAACTCAACCTGAATAAATCTTCGACGATGACGAGGGTTGCTTCTGGCCTCGCTCTGATAATGATATAAAAAATCAAATTAGTTGAGATATTTATATTAATCACATTAATCTAAAAAAATAATTTTAAATTTTAATTAGGGAAATTACTAATACATCTTTTAACTAGTAACTAAATAAAGAAACTAATGCAAATGATTGATTGGCTGAAATTGAACTCATAGTTATCACAATCTATCGAAATCTCATTTAATTAGATCCCCACAATACATATATACATCATATGCGGTTACCAAACAAGACACACATATTATCTATGCATTCATAAACACACATGCATATATACATATATCATACGCATATACTAAACAATACATACATAGATCCATCATGACTAGCAACCAACACATATACATATAGACACATACATACATAGATATACAAACACACATATACATATATCACCATACATGCATACATACACTAACATATGTATGTATATATAGCACATACACATGTATATATAGCATATACATATATCACCATACATGCATACATACACTAACATATGTATGTATATATAGCACATACACATGTATATATAGCATATACATATATCACCATACATGCATACGTACACTAACATTGTGTTGAGCCCTACTTAGAAACAAGATTTGATGATGAACAAACAATGTAAAAGAACACTTAGCCGATTAGGTTAAAGATGATATTTGTCATTTGTAGGCACTATCGCTGATAGGTATCATCTAAGAATGTAATATCAATTGATAACATATTTGTCGCTAATAGTTCAAGTTGTTACACCTATCGACATACGAATTGAAGATAAACTATCAGGTAACAATTTGATGGATCTAATGCTGACAAGTGTGGTAACTCAATCCAGATCAATGCACAAATGTTGAACACTCAATGAAGATATTGGGTGGAATCCTAGAACATGTTTAATGCATATCTACTAACAAGCATAAGATGATCCAGACTAATTGATGGTGTTATTGACAGATGGGCTAACCATTGACGATGATGACAACACTAGATGATCCAACAACTGAAGCATTTTGTCTTTTGAGTATTTTCCCATTGTGTTGGTTGTTCTTCTCTCATGATTATCCACTATAAATACAATGATCGCCTTAAAGACTTCAATTCATAAAACTAACTATCAAGTGAATACCTTGCAAGTTTTCAAGCTCACAAAGGTTATTGGTTGATCAATTTATCCTCACGACAACTTCACTACGTTGGTATATTTGCATTATAGGTTGACTGAGGACATTGTATTGATATAAGAGAATACATCTATCATCTTAAAGAGAAATTGCTACAAGTTTTTAATCACCTGTTGATCTCTACTTTATGTTCCACAACAATTTCCTGTTATGTTACGAATCTTAGGAGTTGTTTGGATCATGGAATTTGGTGGAATTGAAAGGAATTGGAATGTCCAAATCTTTGACCAAATTCCAAATATGATGTTTGGTTCACAGAATACAAGTGAAGGAATCCTTTCAATTCCTACAAATTCCTTCGGTCACCGATTTCACAATTTCCACTTGATATACCACGAATTTCAAATTCTTTTCCATCAAATTCCATTCCATTCCCTCAAAGTCAAATTCATTTGATGAATTCCAATTCCATCGAATTTCATTCTACGAACCAAACGCCCCCTTAGTGTTTAATAAATATTAATTAAAACTTCCAAAACACTCTATCCACCCTCTTCTACCATATTATTGGTATATTGTTTAACCCTTGAGACCAAGATGGACAATGGCATGATGGCCTTTTGCTTTTATTGCCACAACTGAGGCAATCTTCATTAGCTTGGTTGAAGGCAATGAGTTTGAATCAATCTGGGGTTTTCTAATCGGAGACTAGATTGCTTGGATTACTCTTGAAAAATATCTTCTTTACAAATCGACATCAACTTGACCCGTATAGCTTTCAATGACCTCATCGGCTTTTCTTTCTTCATTTTTGGGTCAAAGTGATAGATACACTTTGAATCGTATATTGATTTCTTCAAATCATTACTAAAAAGAGTCATATTGTTATTCATGGTGTGCTTCAAAATGGTTTTTCTTCAGATATTGGTTTCCTCATAATTATGGAAGGTATCATATAGAGTAGTAAGAGGTATGTGATCGATATCTTTGGAGGTCTTGATGTAGGTGGAAATGTTTTCCTAGAAATCAGGTAAATGATCCATGAATTTGCACAACACTTCTTCATTTTAAGAAACACTGACATGCAGCTACAGATAAGTTAGAATAGAGATAAATACATTGTAGTACTGAATGAGCGATTCACATTTCACACACACAAAGAGTTCGTATTGCTTGACAAGACTTGTATCTTTGTTTTCTTTATCTCAATGATTCCTTCATACTGAACATAGAGAACGTTCCACATGTCTTTGGCAGTAGTGAGGTTCACAAGAGAGTCGTAAATATTATCAGGAAGAGACATGACAACAATGACGTACCTCTCAAGGAATGTAGTGTTTTCATAATTTGGTTTATTGTTGGTCAAAAAAATTAGCTTATGGTTATCAAACATAGCCTAAAAATTGGTAGTTATTTAATATCTTTAAAAAAAATCAAAATATTAATATATTTCAAGAAAAAGCAGATTAATAGGATGTCAAATATGTGTAAATGTCCTGATAGCTTTTTTATAGAAGTTAAATTTATAGAATCAAACAGTTGTAAGTTCTATATAAATGTGTTAGGATGTGATTGAGCATCTTAACAAGTTTTTAAGACACTTGAAATAAAATATCCTATTAGCTTTTTGTGTACATTTTTTTAGAATTATCCAGTAGACATATTTCTAAAGAACATCTGTGTTTATAAGATATTCTTTCAGATAAACTCATATAAAAGAACTAATAAAATGCTTCCGATAAAAAATTAAAAGTGTCCAAAAAACTTGTTATGATATTCAAAAATATTCAATCAACTTATTCTACCACATTTATAGAGGACGTATAATTATCAGTTATTTAGATTTACGACTTAAATCTTTATAAAATAATCTATTAGAGCATGGGTATAAAATTAATTATAAAACTGCATAACATGCTTAAAATGCATATACAAGATGACAAAAAGCCTACTTTTACAACAAACTTTATTCTTAATATTTGATGTGACTAACCTTATTCAGAAATTAAAATTTATTGTTTTAATATTTCCATTCAAATATGTAAATTTTAATATTTCCATTCAAATATGTAAATCTTAATTCTAGTAAACGTTTCAAACACATATATTTATATATACATAATGGTATGTATACCAACATATATATATATATAGGACGTTTCAGATACAACTTATTACATTTGTATAATTAATGCAACTCAATCAATTAAAATAATTATGAAAATGATGAGAGTTCATTTATTATAATTTAAATATTTATATAAAATGATTATGACTTATTAATTATAATCAATACTTTATATTATGAAATAATCAAAACTTTTGTAAAATCACATATTTATCAAATTAAATGGACGGTTGAGATTAAGTTGTATTGGTTGTATAAATACAAAATGTTGTATAATAACTTATATGTATGTATACATATATATATATATATATATATATATATATGGTGGAGGTTCAAACGAGAACCCCTGTGATTTACGAGAACGCGAGAACAATCTAATAAACTCAAACTTTTTTAATTAATAAATTAACTTATATTAAATATAAATAAATTAATAAGGGCAATAATGTAATTAAGTAATTTTTATTATTTTATTTTAATTAGTCATAATTATACATTTTTTTCTTGCACGTTCGTTTCCACTCTCTTCTTTCCCTTTGTGATAATTGTGTGATTGTGTAACCATAACCTGTTGAAACCATGATCAAGCAAGTGTAACCATAACCTATCGAAACCATGAGTAATCGTTATGATAAATGTGTGATTGTCTAACCGTAACCGATCGAAACCATGATCAAATTGAGGGCGCAACTGATGTTATAATAGTGATATCACGTGATTATCACACCTATATCACACCAAATCGTTTAATGGATTTCGCCCGTAATCGTTGTGATAAATGTGTGATCATCTAATCCTAACCTATCGAAACCATGAGTAATCGTTGTGATAAATGTGTGATTGTCTAACCCTAACCGATCGAAACCATGATCAAATCAAGTGTGCTATTATGATAGTGATATCACATGATTATCACACCCATATCACACCAAATCAGTAGTCGATTTTCTAAGTTAACCCTAGCTGAGCGGAATCCTTGTGATAATTGTGTGATAATCACATGATTATCACAACCATATCACACCCAAATCACACCAAATCATGTTAATATAAGCGATAATATGATAATTGTGTGATAATCACATGATTATCACACCCATATCACACCCAAATCATACCAAATCGTGTTGATATAAGCGATAATGTGATAATTRTGTGATAATCACATGATTATCACACCCATATCACATGATTAACCGTTTATTAGATAATCATGATCGTGTAATCGTGTTAAAAAATTTTATGATATCATTTCCATGATTACCCTTTTAATTTTAATATTTTTTGAATCTTTTTAAATTTCAATTTTAATTTTAAAAATCTTCTAATTTTAATTTTTTATCATAATATGAGGTCATTGGGTTGTTCTCGCATTCTCGTAAATCACAGGAGTTCTGGTTTGAACCCTTCCAATATATATATATATATATATATATATGTGTGTGTGTGATGTTATATTTTAGAAGTATTTATTTGTGTTGGTATTGTTAAAGTTGATCTACCTTCCTTCCTAATTCCTACCTTCGAAGTAATCAATCCATCTTTGATGTCGGTATAATCCATTTCTTTTAAATATTCCAACTTTATAAAGAACTCAATTCAAAGATGATGTTCTCTCTCTACACATCTCTCTCTCTCTCTACGACCGACATTTGTCTTTACAGGTTGACGATCGAGAGGTAGAGTTCATACACAGTCAAACACCTTATGGTGTGATCAGAATCAATTCTTTGATGGTTTTTTTTGTTGTTGTTATATTTTAGATAAAGAAACTCAAACCCAAAACGCTTTTTGCTTTGTTTAGTTTATAAAAGGTGGTGGTGGTCGTCGTCGTCGTCGTACGGTGGTTCTGTAGCAATGGCGGCTCTTCCACTTGTTCATTATAAATCATAGTATCTGGTCGTTTAGATATTTCTTTGATAGAAACCCTAAAAAGGGTGCGTGTCAAGATAGCGAAATCTATCACCTTGTTTGTTTCTGGTATATTTTTCATGTGCTTTATAAAGGTGGCGACGAATTCCAGAGATTCCGGCGATTATGCCAGCTTGGATCGCGATACAGATGAAGGAGAAAGACGATCAGCTCCACCACCAGCGCCGCCGCAACCGCAACCGCAATCGCCACCGGATATGTTTTCATCTGAGTATAGCATGTCGGGAGAGTTATCTGCTATGGTGACTGCTTTGACTCATGTTGTTTCTGGACATGGGTCAGGTGGTCCTAGTGTTTCACCGTTGTTTCGTAGCGGTGGCGGTGGCGGCAGCGGCAGCGGCGGTGGGTATACCGGGAATATTTACTCCATTGATTCGCCGCTGTCTACGTATTCTTCGTCGAGCTCTAGTTCATTTGCTGGACAAAAAAGGGTTCGTGATCAAGAAGAAAGTGTTAATCAATTTTCAGAACAATTTCATCAAAGAAGTTATGGGGGTTTTGCAGATTTTGGAGGTGGAGAATCATCGTCTTCATTGGGTTAGTTTCTTTTCCTTTAATTATGAAATATCCTAAGTGGCCACAGAAGTTCAAACGCGGTAACTCTGGACTACCTGCAAAGCACGTGGTCGCACTGGGATTAGTCGACTCGCATAGCGGGTTAGACATCCAGGTTAATCAAAAAAATATCCTAAAACTAAAATCAAGAGTGAATTACATCGATTGTATCTGTAGTTTGCTCAAATTTTGGATTTAATTTTTGAAACGAACCATTTATAACGATGGCTTTTAACCTTTCATTTTTATAACAATCAAGGTTTCGTTAGTTAACACCGTCCGTTTAGCAACTGTCGATAGGAACAAATCAGTCTTTAAGAAAAACTACAAGATAAAATTTTAATAATGTCTCGTAATATTTTAACTTTTTATTTCAATGAACAAATTGTAATATATAATTATCTTACGTTAACCATGCGTAATTATTTTTTAATTATTTTTAGTAAATAAACTTAATTAAAAAAAGTATGAATCGCAATTAATTTTAGAGTAAATTACATTTTTGGTTCTTACAGTTTGTTCAAAAACTGATCTGTCTTTCCTATCTGTTACTAATTAACAGTGTAAACTCCAAGAATCTTGAGTTTTATAAAACAATCGTTGTAAGTTGTAAATCCAAAATTAAGCATACCACAGTGACCGCCCGTGTAATTTACTCTAAAATAAAAATTTAAACAGTTGTCATTTTTTTCTAAATTTGTATATTAATTTAAGAATTAAAAATATGCATTTTAAATGTGTTGAAACATTTTCACAACAGCTTGATGATTTTTTGGTATATATGTAACAGTGAAAGAAGAAATGATACCATCACCCACCACCACTATGGTGGCCGCCACCGCAACCGTCACTGCCACCGCCACCGTCGTCCAGAATCCGATGACGGAAATGAACCAATCTGAGGGAACAGGAGAGAGGAGGAGAAAATACAGAGGAGTACGACAGCGACCATGGGGAAAATGGGCGGCAGAGATACGGGACCCACATAAAGCAGCACGAGTTTGGTTGGGTACCTTCGACACGGCGGAGGCGGCCGCCAGAGCGTACGATGATGCCGCTCTTAGATTCCGAGGAAACAGAGCTAAACTTAATTTCCCAGAAAACGTCAGATTAGTTCCACCTCAAACCATCCATCCAACCACCCAAATTTCGAATTCTCCGGGGACCCATTTAACCATCCTCCAACAACCACCGCTTCAGCCGCCGCACCACCACTTTCGGCCGCCTGACGCCACCGCCGCCCGCGACTATTGGCAATACTCGCAATTACTACAAAGCACCTCCGATTTCCACCTACAACAACCGCGGGGTAATTTATTACAACAAATGTTTAATGCATCAACAATGGCTTCTTTACATTCACAAACATCAAATCATTCATCCTCTTCATCCACCAGTAATTATCCCCTGCTTTTTCCAAACCAGTCATCTGGTTATCTTGATTTCCGGCAGCCAGGTGGCACAGATCAGGTGGATGAAGAAGATTTTCCGGCAGCTCCACCGTCGTGGCCTGGACCTGATCAATTCCCACCTCCAAATTGATTAATTTTTTCCATTTTTAGCATACTTTAAAGTCTATACATATTTCTAATTATACATATCATATAGATTTTGTACTATGAAATGAGTAATGTTATATCTCTATATGTTAAGAGGCAGTTTACTTTTACTAAACACTTACTTAGTAAGTGCTTAATGTATAAATTTCCTTATCGAATTAACATGAGAAGGAGAGTCTTACCCGGTAAGTGAGGATGCCAACTCTTATCCAGGTAAGCGTTTACCCAGTAAATTGTTGCATTTGATATGTTTTGATATACTAAAATCTTACACATCAAAATAAATTATAGTGTTCACTCCTATTGATAAGTGCTTACCGGATAAGCATTTGGGTAAACGGTCCTTAAGTCTTATCGTTATAAACAACATTTAGACAGTAATTTTTTACAAATCTTGTCATGTGTTTTTTAAACCATAATATTCAAAAGAACATAGTTTTATTATTTTATTAAAAAAAATAATGGGTCTATTTTGTTCTGACGTCATTTTTTGATTTATTTGTTTCGGTCGAGGTTTGTTTTGTTTTATATTTTATTTAAAAGTACATGTAAATCAAAATGAAGAATATCGAGAATATAACAAAGTAGAATGATTCGTTTTTGGATTTTAGGTTGAGTTTGGTACTATCGATTTGATTCTTATCTGAAATATCCGAAAGAAGATCGTAGAAAGTGTGAGCATGTTTGTCTTCTTGTGTTCGATGGCTTTCATCTGGTATAAGTCAATCGGCTTTATTTTATATTCTTTAAGCGTATGTCGAGAAGGTGATTTACGTTGTTTATTATCAAATAATTAATTATTGACGATATTTTGTATGAGTATTTTCAACAGATTTAAGTTATAGAATACTCGTAAATTTTAAAGCGAATACAAAATTCTAGAAAGTGTTCATCATGATTGACTATCTTAAAGCCGAAGGATTACCAACCAAAAATATATAATAATGACAGAGAAAAGTTTTTTAAAGCTAACGAACCATTGCTTGAAATTGGTAAGAAAAGGTTTACTAACAACGAAGGAATTGTTGGGCTTTCGGTTTATACAGAAATATATAGGAAAACCAAGTAACATTACATCACCAGATGAATATAGTAAGAACCAAGAATCTTATCCGGTAAGAGCGAGACAAGGATCAAGAGTCTTATTCGTTAAGTGAGAGCGACGACTCTTACCACGGTAAGCACTTACCGGGTAAATTGTTGTATACTATGTCGTTTTGGTGGACTAAAATCTTACACGACAAGTACATAATAGTGTTAAATTTTACCGATAAGCACTTACTGGGTAATTGTTTGATAAATGGCCCCTAAGTTTGAAGTTTCTGGAACTTCATTGCACGATGTTATAACATCTGTTTTACGTTCTCATAACACTTTACTTTTCTTGTCATTTGTGATTTATGCACTTACATTCAGCTTTTCCAATTATGTATTGCATTATTTCTCATGTAATGATGGACTAAATGCCCTAGTTTGTGTGAGTGAAGGTTTGGGAATAAAGGTAGATGAATGTAAACTCATCCAATGACTCGGAAGTGTTCTCACCATTCTCATTATAATTCATATTCTCATACAATCCTTCGCCTATATATAATATAATATATATATATATATATATATATATATATATATATATATATTATATTGGAGATTCAAATAAGAAAGTTAAATATCGTGAAAATGTAATAAGGGAAAGTTAATAAAATGTACATATATGAATCATTGGAAAAATCCATTTGAAGATGCAAATGTGAAGTTGTGAACCCATATGAATAATATATAATTTCGGTTCACATATATGCATCTTCAAATAAAAAAAAATTTCGAATTTTTCAATGGGTGTACATATGAACCTTTTCTTAACCTCTCATTCATATTTTCTCATGATATTTAGTTTTCTTATCTGAAATGACCTTTATATGTATGTGTGTGTGTGTGTGAGCTTAATCATTTGAGAACCATATGCACCTTAAAGGAGGCATTAGAAAAATCCTTCCTTTTTCTATTATTTGATGATGACACTATAATAGTTAACATCCATAGGGGATATTTTGTGTTCAATTTCTTTGTTTTTGATGAACACCAAGTGTTCGACCAAAGTTTCCAATAGAGTTTTTGATATTTTATTTCATTTCAGATTTGAGCATGCATCTGCTGAAGTGTTGTTATTAAAAGAAATTACGGGTTCTTTCAAAACGCTGAAGGTTCGTCTCTGTTCATGTTAAGCTCACGTGCCCCAACATATTCTAGATATTTTGTCCAGTGCAAAAGATTTTCTCAGTTTTGTGTTATTTCACAATAGCTGAAGGGAACTTTTTCACAAAATGGGATTGTTTATGAGATTACTAACAATTGAAATGTTCCCCATGTAATATAGTCATGTTGCACCCTTTCAAGAAATCGATACAAGAGCTTTGAGAAAAGATGAATAATTGTCCCTATTGCTAAAAATGGCAGGTATAGTTTCGTTCTTGAATTGCATTTAGTTTGGCATTTTTTTGTGATTTATGTTACACTTTCTTCATTCTTTTTTTCTTTTTGATTAACCTGAATATCCAACCTGCTTTGGAAGCCCACTAATCTCAGGGCAACCACCTGCTTTGTTTTGCAGGTAGCTCAGAGTTACCGCATTTGAACCTCCATGGCCACAAGAGGATTTTTGTTCCTCCTTGGATTTGAACTTGAGACCTCCTGACACTTTTGACCTTTGGAGTCAAGTTCAAACCAATCAGGCACCACCCTTGTGGTTCACTTTCTTCATTCTTTGCCACTCCTTAATGTACACTTTAGATACAGGTTACAACTTCTCTTTTGTTGTTATTTAGACCATAACATCGTGTAGTCGAATTACTAACAGAGTGTAAGTTTTATTTATTATGCAGGAAGTAGAATAACTAGATGGATAGTGAGAAAGAAGAGATGAGTATGCCGATCAAAGTGGCAGGAATACCATTTTGGCTATCGGTTTTTATACTTATTGACTTTGGTTCTCAAAAACAAGTTTTGGTTCTGTTCTTCTTATTATTTTTCTCCCCCAAAAAAAAAATTAGATGTACTAAAATGGAAATTTCAAACAGATCATAAAAGGCTCAATCTTGATAGAAAGACTGCCGGCCTTTTGAATTCAAAGCTATTATGAGTGATTGTGGACAAAGTATGTAAATTATATGATTGTTGGAAAAAGAAATTGTAAAAATTAAGTATTTATCAGAAATGAATTTTTTAGGGATTCCGTAGATGATATCCGCAGTTTTTTCATATTAAACAAACTATTTTCTCGATCCATTGTTGTGATTCATTAATTCAAACTTCTGAGTTGTGTGTTGATGCTTTGTTAACTTTCTGACTATTCTTCTAACAACTGTTTTTCAGTATGTTGTTTATGTGGGTTTATGCTCGACCGATTTACTCTGAGTAGTGATATGTCTTCATGTAGTGAATGGGATTTGTTTTAGTTGGTCAGAAATTGCATTCTTGGGTCACTAAATCGGTCTGTGTTTGGATGTCTATGTCGGTTGTAGTCTTTTGGAGGGGTATGCCAAAAATGAAAGTTCAGGCAATGACTTTAAGATGTTTAATCAATTTAAATTTTGCATCATCCATCCCATTTCATTATGCGGGTGCATAACATATATATATATATATATATATATATATATATATAGGGATGTTATTCTACACTCTTTGTCATTCCTACATCCTATACAACCCTCATCTCAACCATTCAATTTTTAATCAATTAATTGTTTCCTAATATAAAGTATTAATCATAATTAATAAACTCTATTCATATTCCATAAATATTTAAATCATAATAAATGAACTTCAATCATTTCTATAAATATCTCAATTAATTGGGTTGTAAAGGTTGTACAAATGCACAAGGTTGTAAAAGAAATATACCCTATATATATATATATGTGTGTGTGTGTGTGTGTGTATGTGTGTGTGTGTATGTGTATGTGTATGTGTGTGTGTGTGTACGTATTCGTTGTTAACATGAGGACAAATCTTGGCCATTGATCAAAATTTAGAAAACTAATTAATGGTTAGAACATAAAAAGGTTTTATTAAGAAGTGATTAGGGATAAAAATGGAAGTTAGGATTTACGTCTATCATGTTTGACTTTTGATTCTCTTTCTTAATTCAAAAACTTTTATCCCCTTAATTTTTAAACTAAATTATCTTACAAATAATTAATATTTTAGTCAAACGAATTACATCAAAAAACCGAACATTTCATTCTCTTCGATTTGACATTAATCTCGATATAGTTTTTTATTTGTTTATGTTTTTAACCTTTTTTTTTACGTCAAATAGTATATCGGTGTAATATTCATTATGAATATTTATACACGTTCATATGTTTACAATAACTCTTTAATATTCATACATTAGTATGATATTAATCATGAATATACAACTTATTATAACATTCATCATGAATAGTTATGTATTTTCATATGTATTCAACAAATCTTCAATATTCATACATTACTATAACATCCATCATCAATATACGTCTTCATTATAACATTTATCATAATTATAAATAGTATTCATCATGAATACAAGTTTTCTTTATAACATTCATCATGAATGTATATATGTCCACGTGTATACAATAACTCTTTAGTATTCATATATCAATATGATACTAGCTATTCATCATAAATATACATATTATTCATCATGAATATCTATATATGTCCACGTATATATAACAACTTTTCAACATTCATATATCAGTATGATATTCTTCATGAATATACATTTTCACTTGAACATTCATCATGAATGTATATACTATTCATCATGAATATTTATGTATGATCACGTGTATACAATAAATCTCTAGTATTTATATTAGTATAATATTTATCATAAATATTAATATTCACCATGCATATACATATTATTCATCTTGAATATACTACAATTTCAACTCTACATACTTTAGTTTTTCTTTCTTTTTCTTTATTGGATTTCGATTGATCTAAATGAGTTTCTGACTCGTCTCGATAGATATACCGATCTATCTCGATAAAAGTTAAAAGTGGTAGGTTATGGTTTTACACAAACAAACACATAATAACTTATTCAATAGGTTCTCAATTCATCTCGATGAAAAATGAAGATGTTATGTTATGATTTTAACACACAACCACACACCAAATCAATGGATGGGTTCTTGATTAATCTTGGTTGGTTTCATTTGATGTAGATCGGTCCCAATAGGTTGTGAATCGATCTTGCTATTTTCTTGATTGGTCTCATTAGATTCTCGATCCATCTCGATAAAAGCTGAAACTGGTAGCGTATAGTTTTACACACACAAACAAATAATAAATCAATCAATAGAACTTGAAATGTAACCAAAAGATTTCTAATATTTAGAAGACAACTTGTTCTCCAAGTAGTATGGAGAACTACTTGAGAGAAAAGTGTGGAGTAGAAGTGTTGAGGTGTGTTCAATACTCCTCCCAACATTCCTTTTTATACTAGGGATAGAGTAAGAGCAAAATGGTCAATTCACACCCAATTAGTTCAAAAGGAACCAAAAAGTACACTTTAGCAAACTAATATTTAGAAAGTAACTATATTAGTCTTGTAAACTCCAGCTAATCTGATTAAACTACAGCTGGTTCAACTTTAAAAGGCTTTCAAATGTCTTCATATTGTCATGTCAGTCAACTCCAAGTCTTATCTTTCTCTTCCTCTACCATCAGGTCATGCTACCACATTCCTGCAGCATCAACCTGCTTCAATCTGTCCAAAATGAGTTAAATTTAGACCAAAATCCACTAAAACAGGTTCAACATTCTTCTTAGCATAAAAATAGAGAAAAGAGATAAAATAACTCAAAGTTGGGATATAAATGGAAAATAACCTATTCAAAAGAGAATAAAAAGGTACATTACGTACTAAATACTTAGTACGTATCACACCCCCAAACTTAAACCGTTGCTTGTCCCAAGGCAACCAAAAGACAACTAAAAATGACTCAATTTTGAAAATTTTGCAAGAAAATGCAGTAAGTGCATACACATGTTGATTATTCCAAAATGCACCATATAGCTTTCATAAATCTCAAGTAAGCATGTCCTAACTAACCATTAGCATAAACCATAAGCTAGCTCTATTTGCTCTTTGTTATGCTCAACACATCATATGTCTAAGATCAATAGGACTTGGAAGTAACTGGTTTACTCTCATTTAGCACATTTTTTCCCTTTCTTTGCCTTTTCTCTTCTTTATGCATCAACATTGAATTTTTCAAATTTTGGCACTTTGTGCTCTTTTGTTGAATGCATTTACACCTGCCCCTATGGGACATTTGTGGTGTTTTAGATCTCAAATATGACATTGAAACTTTATGCACTTTGTGCACTTTGATCTCCACTTTTGGCACTTTGTGCTCTTTTGCATTGCTTTGATCAATATAATCATGTTGGTACCCACCCCCAAACTCAAATTTTTCAATGTCCTCATTGGAAGTATATAGGAGGCTTTTTATGCAATGGCTACAAGTGGCTAAATCATGAGAAAAGAACAAAGGGTCTACATCCTTTCTTAGTTGAGCATATGATGTGGATCAAAATGTGTTCCTAAGCAAAACAAGCTAGTTCTAGAGATACCAAGTGATTTGAAAGTGTAACTAAACTACAAGAATTATTTTGGCTATACAAGCATATGGCAATTATAAACATATGTGTTCTTTGCAAGAAAATAAACTAGAAAATGTAAAAGACCATCCCAGACTCAAGAAAAATAAGACAAGTTGAAATAAAATAAATAAAAGAAGCTAAAGAGAGGATGATAGAACCTGTCCTTCAATTTTGCATTCTCATTCAAACAACCTTGCATTTTCTGTTTTCAATGCCTTCAACTTCTTTCCCAACTTCTTCACTTGAGCACTTGTCTTTGCTTCCAACTCAACCCTTACCAACTTGATGTCTCCTCTTGTCTTCTTCTCGGCAGCCCTCACTTGTTCAACAAGCTCTCCACCTTCAACCTATCTATCTTGTCAAATAACTCATTTCTTTGTTCCAACAAGCTATCCATTAAACTGCTGTTTTGAGCAAGCAGGTCTTGCATCAAACACAGCATATCACCAGCCCCATTCACTTTTTCTTTCTTCTCCCTCAGCCTAGAAACTGTCTTCATGCCAATCTTCCATTTTTCCCCTTGCTCTTTCACCATTTGATCCTCACAATACTGAGGAATTCCATTCTCTACTAACAACCATGTGATCAAATAAGGGAAATACATCTTCCCCCTACTTCTGCCCGAACATGTCCGAATACTCCTCTCTATCACTCTCCCAAAGTTGATGGACTTACCTGTAGCTAGACAATAAAGCAACAACATTCTCTCCATCAACACTGAGCTATCATGTGTGGTGGGAGCAATAGAGTGCCTCAAAAAGTTAATCCACACATTTGCATTGGCCGTAAGATTGTAGACCTTAAAAGTCCTCAAGATATAATTCGAGTGATCATCCCAAACATCCCCTGGTTTCCCTATCTTATCAGCCACCTCAGTCAAATCTTCTATGGTCGCATGGCTCACCATTCTAGAGTAATCAGTCTTCTTAGGGGGGTCTAGGCCATACAGCCGATTGATAGCTTTAGAATTAAACATGAAAGTCATCCCTCTAATAGATATCTTGGATGTGCTATTTGTTGCTAATTCAACATAGAACTCTCTAATTAGAGTCAGATTATAGGAAGTTGGAACCATGCACATCTTTTCTATACCATGAGCTTCTACCACCTCTCTTATGAATGCAAATTCCCTAATGTTTTGCCTATCAAATCTCTTGTCTGGGAATCCAACCCTATTTTGGAACCTAGCATGCATCTTTTCAGCAGCCTTAGAACTAAAACCATTGTGGGGTCTGATTGGCCCTGGAATGGTGGCTGACCTTTGGGCCATAGCCACCTTCTTCCTCTTAGGTCTGGATGAATGCTGTTGCGATGCTACAACATCAGTCTCAGAGTTTCTAGGAGACTCAATCACAACCCTTTGAGACTGGTTCTTCTTCCTAGGTGGTTCCTCATTAACTACTGCCTTTGACTTCTTTTTATCACAAGCCTTGACCAACCTTCTTTTTTTAGACACAACCTCAACAGGGGGTTCTTCATCCTCTTCCCCAAAAAATTCCTTATTGAGGTCGGGTATGGGATCATGATGAGCAACATGAGGCATATCATCCTCATCATCTGTATCTTGCCTAGAGGCAGTCAAAAGCATAGGCTTCCTTGGTTTTTCAATAACAGTGATGTTCTCCAAAGTGCATGCCTCACTTTCCATCCAAGTCTCCCCTGTCTGTGCCATAGAGGCAGGGTCCTTCTCTTCCTCAGAATCAGAAGTGAAGAGGCCCTCAGGGGGTGTACTATCAGATGAGGATTGTACCTTTTGAGAAGTATCGAGTGATTCCCTGTTGGTGGTGGTCGGAGTTGAAGTTGGGGCCTTCTTTGGAATCGGCACAGTGGTTGGTTTCATCTTTTCTTTGACTTTATTCAGGGGTCTGAAAATGGGATGATGGCAGCGGATGGCACCATTTGGAGAGGAGGTGCGGCGATGGGTACTTCCGGTGGAATGGCATCGACGACTGGAATGGAAGATGGTGGTAGAGAAGGCGACGGCGGTGGAGACGGTGAGTCTTCATCGATAAGGGTAGTCGAAGACTCACCCTTCTTCTTCTTTGCAACAGGGAGTCTCTTCTCTCTCCTTGCTGGTTGTCTGCATGAAGAAACAGGAGCACGCACAGCGGCAGTAGCCACCGGCAGTTGTGGGTCAGACGGTTGCGTTGGCGACGCTTCAGATGCCCGCATTTGTGGTGGATCGCGAACCGTGGCTCTCTTCACTCTTGTCATTCGAACGTTGAAGATGGTGGGGGGGACGGTTAGCGGTCGGGAGCGAGAGACAGTTAGAAAATGAGAAGGGAGAAAAATAGGGTTTCTTGGGAGATTAAGGGGTTTTTTTTCTAAAAAGCAAGGGTAAGATGGGAAAATGGTGATGTTGGGTGATGTCATCCTTGGAAGCATGCAAAAGGTGATAGTACTTGATGGTAGGCTTCTTTTTTCATTTCAACCAAGAGCTTTCAAACACAAGTCATGTTTAATTAATTTTTTACTACAAGTGATGTGTTTTGAAAGGTTGGTAGCAATGTCCCCTTAATGACAAACTAGTACTTTTTCTCTTTGCAATTGGTACTAAACTCGGCTAGCATTAAAAAGAGATGACCATTTTCTAAAAAATATTTTTGTAATGACATCATTTCGACTCAAAATTTTCAGACTTTTAAAAAAATTTCTAAGATTCTCCATGAAAGGCTAGGGTTTTCAGATGCTGCAGCAAGACTTCAGACTCTTTGTGATGACTTACAGGACTGCAAAACATACAAAATATAACGACAATATTATTAATAATATTAATAAGGGAAAAGTACAATAAAAACCAATGAACTTTCTTGTTTGGAATGATTAAGTCCTTGAACTTTTTTTTGGAACATATAAGTCCTTAGACTTTCCAAAACATGTTAAATAAGTCCTTAAACATTCCAAAATATGTTAAATAAGTCCTTGGACATTCCAAAAAATGTTAAATAAGTCCTTGGACAATTTTTGGACCAAATAAGTCCTTAAACAATCCAAAACATGTTAAATAACTTTTTGAAAAAAATAAAGTGGTAAAATAGTGAAAAAAATCCGAAAAAAAAACCCAATGAACATTCATATTTTGAACGATTAAGCCCCTAAATATTTTTTTCAACCAAAAAGTATTTAGATCTATAAAATTAAACAAATAT